ATGCAAAAACAACTTCTAAGACTGAACTTTGGAGGTGTGTCTGCAGTAGGGGTGGGAATCTTTAGGCACCTCACGATTCGATTCGATTATGATTCAGATGCTGCGATGCGATTATAAAACGATTCTCGATGCATCTCGATGCATCTTTTTTCTCTATACAGGATTTCTATCTTCCTACTGTCTAAAAACTTGGTAGTTTTAAAACAAAGTATTTGTAATGATCCGTAGTGCATTTACGTCCAATATCTTTTATTAATAAATCAATGGGGGGTGAAGCGCGAAAGACTGCAGGTCACATAGCAATTTCGCCAAGCTAGTAGCGAACGAAAAGGAAAAGAGAAAAATGTCTCTTCTTATCATTTGTGCTGTGACTCCTGATCCAACCTGGCTTTAACGCAGAGGGAGCCGGTCGAATTTCTCGCTCATCCAGCTGTGTTTTTGTTATGTGCCGCCACAGACTGTCCGGGCGCTGCACTTACCCACTTCCAAGTTCCGCCTTTTGCGTCCCTTCAACATTACGTTATAAATTAAATATTTAGAAAATCGATTTTTGACATTTGTGAATCGAGTCAGAATCGTTCACGTCCGCATCGCGATGCATCTAAGAATCGAGTTTTTCCCGCACCCCTAGTCTGCAGAAAAACTGAAAGTGAGTCTCCTGAAAAGAATGGAAGCTGTAATAAAGGCAAAGAGTGGAAAAAAAAAATATTTTTAAATTTTTTTTTCTGAAAAATGAATAACGTACTTAATGGCTGTTTTGACTGTGAAGTTACTCTAGCAAATCCATGTGAAACAACCTAAAAAAACTAAGCCTTCACTGATTTCATTAACTTTTTTATTTGATTTAGACTGACTGTGATGAATGATTAGGTGTACATGAACATTGTTCCTAAATTAGTTAGCCGTGCTGCATTCATGCTTATAAGGGAACACTGACATCAAGTACAGTATTGCATATTGTGAGACCCTGTTATGTATAGCACTTGGGATGCCACTGATGGGAGCTATTTATGGAACCGTTTTGCTCTGACCTTGAGTGAAGGAGTCTGTCATTTTAGGAATTGAGAGGGTGATTATGGTGAATGCAGCCATGTGACATCCACATGTCTTTTCTACAGCATATGGCCTACAGCATTAGGCCATATAACATAGAATATAACATAGCAATATAGCATAGAAAGGACACACACACACATTCACACACTGGGCTTCTAAGCTGCGTATCCTCTTGGGTTCGGGGGTGTTACGGTCTATCCCAGCGGTCATTGGGTGGAAGGCAGGAAACACCCCAGACAGGCCGCCCGCCCATCACAGGGCAAACACACAGACATATAATTTCACACCTAGGGGCAATTTAGCATGTCCAGTTGGCTTGACTGCATTTGAACTGTGGGAGGAAACCCACACAGATATGAGGAGAACATGCAAACTCTACACAGAAAGGACCCTGGTTACCTGGCTGGGGAATCGAACCCAGGCCCTTCTTGCTGTGAGGAAACAACGCTATCACACCAGTTTATATCTTTGGTATGGAAACATTTGAATCGTTTAAGCAGTTAATTTTATCTTTCCTAAACTTTACTTTAACATTCTAAACTTTTTAATCATTTTTTAAAATTGTGTCACCTCAAAGTTTCTCCACCACGGCCTTAAACTTAAAACATAACACGTGGCTTGTGCAGAAGTTGTGGCACTTTTTTATATTTTATGGTTTATTTTATTCTAATTTGTTAAATTTAGCAAATAAAAACAGATTGTGCACTAAAATTTGCACTGATATGTCATCTTTACGTTGGTTCCCTGTATCGGATGTGTTTAAACTTTTGTAGCTGTGCTTTACTGCCATCAGGCTCATTTCTGAAAAATTTGGAGGCTGTACGCAACATTCAACTAGCGGACTGTATAAAATTCTTTTATACAATAATTCATATTTGACTCAGTTTGATCAGAAAAGAAGCTGAAAGTTTTAGGACAGGTGTAAACTAGCTGGGTTTATGACAAGCTTAGTCATTCAGCCTCTCATCCTACACTCTACACAAGAGTTATTCAAGGGTTCTTTAGTATAGAACATGGTTCTATAATGAACCATGAACACTCAAAGAACCGTTTATATGATTAAAAGGTTCTTTGCATGGAGAAAGCTTTCTTCAGATTGATGGAGAATGTGCTGTAGATGGTTCTATACAGAACCATTTTGAAAAGTGTTCTCTACAGCACCAAAAAGGTTCTACTATTGTTATGATGTCAAGCTTGTAACAGTAGAAGAACTCTTTTTGGTGCTATATGCACCCCTTTTCAAAAAGCTTCTATAAAAAAATATATACAACATATTCCCCATCAATCTGAAGAACCATTTCACCATGCAAAGAACCATTCAGGCAATCAAATGGTTCTTTGATGTTGACGGTTCTATATAGAACCATTGTCTTTATTGAAGAACCTTAAAAGAACCGTCTTTTTTACAAGTGTAGTTGTACCAGTAGTCCGATCACACTGCAGTCCATATTGTCAGTATTGGCTTAATGACTGCCCAAGAATCCAACACTATACGTCCATAGGTTTGTAGACTGCTGCTCTTCCAGTGTTTTTATAGGAACTCCAGTGCAGTACCATTGAGTTTGCCCCCCCTTTGCTGCAGTAACAGCCTCTACTCTTGTCTCAAGGCTTTACACTAGATGTTGGAACATTGCTGTGAGGATTTGACTGCATTCAGCCCCAAGAGCATTAGTGAGGTCAGGTACTGATGCTGGATGATCAGTTCTGGATCACTGCAGCTCATCCCGAAGGTACTGGATGGAGTGGCATCACTCCAGAGAATGCAGCTCCACTGCTCCACAGCCCAGTGCTGGAGGCTGTGTATCCTTCTAGCCAATTTACTGTCTAATGTTTTGCTTTTTCTTTTCTTATTTTTTTCAGTATATAACTTTACACACGTACATTAACCTATGCTTACAGTCTCTCACCAACCAGCGAATCGTTCTCTTTGAGCGACTCTTTTAAGTGAGTCGAGTGAATCAATTCGCAAGCATACATTGATCAATTGATTTCATTAAAACAATGAATACACAAATATTACTGTTAACTTATTAGAAGTTCAGTGGAATCAACTTTTTTTTAATTAAGCCGTTTTGTTTACTTTTATAATTAAAAGAACATTTTTTTTATTTGAAGGTAAAGAAAGGTTTTTTTATTCTGTATTACTGGTTAATTTAATCAGATTGTGTGATGTATGTACTACACTACACTCAAATGGAACATATTTCCTAATCAAAAAGAAATAGTTGTGCAGATTGAAGCTAGGTGTGGGCAATATGTGGCATTACAGGCTCACTTTTGTGTTTCAGCTTAATAACCCCCCAGCCCAAAAAAACCAAAAAACAAATATCAGTACTGTGAAAATGTTTTGATGCATCATAATATTTTTGCCACATCGCCCACCCCTATTTGAAATTGCAGCCATTTTATTTGACCGTTAAACTGAATTAAGAATTGTATCTAGACTACTGTCATCGTATGGATTTCTGTACATGCTTAAAAAATGGCTCTTCAAGCATTCTTTAGTAAAGGCAATGGTTCTATATAGAACCATGAGTTCCATATAGATCTATTTGCATGCTAAAATGGTTCTTTGCATGGTGAAGTAGTTCTTCAGACTGATGGAGAGTGTGTTATGTATGGTTCTCTACATAACCTTGTTAAAAATGGTTCTGCTACTGTTACAAGCCTGACATCGTCACAATAGCAGAACCCTTTTTGGTTCTACATAAAACCATTTTCAAAACGGTTATATGTAGAACAACACACAACACACTCTCCATCAATCTGAAGAACATTTTCATCATGCAAAGAACCATTTTAGCATGAAATAGGGTTCTGCTATTGTTACAAGCTTGACATCATCACAATAGCAGAACACTTTTTGGTGCTACATAGAACCATTTTTAAAAAGGTTCTATGTAGAACCATAAACAACACACTCTCCATCAATCTAAAGAACATTTTCATCATGCAAAAAAACATTTAAGCATGAAATGGTTCTACATAGAACTCGCAGTTCTAAATAGAACCATTGCCCTTTATTAAAGAACTCTTGAAGGAACACCTTTTTACATACACCGATCAGGCATAACATTATGACCACCTCCTTGTTTTTACACTCATTGTCCATTTTATCAGCTCCACTTACTATATAGGTGCACTTTGTAGTTCTACAGTTACAGACTGTAGTCCAGCTGTTTCTCTGCATACTTTGTTAGCCCCCTTTTACCCTGTTCTTCAGTGGTCATGACCCCCATGGACCCTCACAGAGCAGGTACTATTTGGGTGGTGGATCATTCTTAGCACTGCAGTAACACTGACGTGGTGGTGGTGATGTGTTAGTGTGTGTTGTGCTGGTACGAGTGGATCAGACACAGCAGTGCTGCTGGAGTTGTTGGTCCACCCTGTAGGTGTAAAGCCAGAGACAATAGCTCATCTCTTGCTGTACAGTATGAGCTAATCATCCTCTAGTCCTTCATTAGTGGTCACCGGAGACTGTTGACTGGATATTTTTGGTTGGTGGATTATTCTCAGTCCAGCAGTGACACTGAGGTGTTTTAAAACTCCAGACTGCTGAGAATGATCCACCATCCGAATAGTACCTGCTCTGTGAGGGTCCATGGGGGTCCTGACCACTGAAGAACAGGGTAAAAGGGGGCTAACCAAGTATGCAGAGAAACAGATGGACTACAGTCTGTAACTGTAGAACTACAGAGTGCACCTATATAGTAAGTGGAGCTGATAAAATGGACAATGAGCGTAGAAACAAGGAGGTGGTCGTAATGTTATGGCTGATCGGTGTACGTATGCTTAGTTTGCACAAACGAAGCACTGAATCAAACGCTTGATTCATTTAAAACGTGCCATTCGACAGAATCGGTTCGGTGAACTGAATCGTTGAATCAAAGTGCCCTTGAAAGCAACGTGGTGTGGGGAAGCCAGCCAATGAGAGCTTTCCACATGCGGACACTGAAACAGCGCTTGCGGGAATCGGTGGAGGAGGAGAGAGGCGAAGGCAAACGGAGCTGCTGCTGTTGATGGTGGCATACTAACGAACCACGGATCCACCCGGTACTTCCCTGCTCAAGCTCAACACCGGCGGCGGCGGACGCGAGAAAGACACGCGTTACCGAGTCGTCGAAGACCAAACAGCTAATTGGTTTGAGTCCTCAGTGACAGCGGTTCGTTCAAACTTCAGTAACGTTAGCTAACGATAGCTGCTTTGCCGGTTGTGCAATTGCGCGTGTTGAATCGGACTCGCCGTTGCTACTAGAGCCGTTATTCCCCAGCAACGGAATCCACCAGCCGTTGATCACCGTTACCGTTTAAAGTTTGTTCTGGCGATTTTGGCTCCTTTTGTCGGATCTGGGAGCCGCTGAAGGAAACCGGGCGGTTTTTTTAAGGAGCTTAAAACGCCGTCCAACGATGGAGAACGCACACACGAAGACAGTGGAAGAAGTTTACAGCTATTTCAACGTCAACGAGAGCACCGGGCTCAGCCTCGACCAGGTGAAGCGGCAGAAGGAGAAGTGGGGACCGAACGGTGAGTCACCTAAACCGGCTGAAGTCCGCTTCTGATTCGCCAGCGTCTTGTTCAGAATTTTCCCGTTCCACCTTAAATGGCGCAGCAGTTACGGTGTCAGCGAGGCTCCAGAATGTAACCTAACTGCCGCACCATTTAAGGTGGAACGGGGAAATCGGACACGAAGCTGGCGAGTAAAAAGCCTTGTTAAACCGGCCTGGTTAGCTTCTGAGCTAATGCTAGCGTGTGGAGGCTGGAGCGGACCGTGCCATTGTGTAATTCCACTGTTTCCCAATCCAGGTCCTCGTAAAACCGCCATGTACGGCACATTTCAGCGGTTTCTGTGTGATAAACACACGGAGTGTGACTAAGCAAGCGTTTTACGAGGCGAAGATCAGCGTGTTACAGCAGGGGAAGCGCGTAAATGTGCGCTGCGGAGGTTGTTTGAGGACCTGAATAGGGAGAAGCGCTGGTGTAGCTGAGTTAGCCCGGCTGGCTAACGTTTAGCGGCGAGGCCTGCGCGCCGGGCTCAGGGACCGGCGGACAGATAAGGTGGCTGGAAAAAAAGAAAAAAGTAGAGAAATGAAAGTGTGACGTCAGTGCAGTCCACGAACTCGTGCCTTTGGCCGAGTTGGTACAGCATGAAACTTTTTCCTTTTTAAATCCCTCTCTCTGCTGTTTCTCTCCATGGTTTTATAGTAAACCTGATCATAATAATAGCTACATTTTATATATGTAAGATGAAATTTGCCAGAGGAAGTACCTTCACATGTGACCTTTGTACACGCGGATCTGTGTGCTCACGTTTACGTTAGACGTCTGCGTTAGTGAATTTACACGTGTACATTAGTGAATTTACACCTACTGCAAAACAACAAAGTCTGTAAAATCAGTTGCTGTGTTAAAGCTTTTCAGTTTTTTAAAATCCCATATGGTATTCTTTTGTATTTTTGCATTTTTCCTTTCTTTTTTTTTGTCTATTTTCCTCTGTTGATAATTGTTTGTACATTATACGTGTGTGTGTGTGTACATATACATATGTGTGTATGTGTATCGCTGTTGTCAGAAGAAAACCTCGTATCTCCAAAATGGTAACTTTGCAGGAGAAGGAAAAAAAACTACTTTACTTTTAATGTAAGTCAATGGAACCAGAATTTTTTCCAAGTCATTTTGGGCCATTTCTTTTGGTCCATTCTTCATAAAATTTACACACAATGTGAAGGACAATAGGATTTTTCAGATTACGTCAAAAACCGAAAAACATCAAAAATGGAGATAAAAGGTTTTCTTCTGACAGCAGCAATTTATTTATACACATAAAAAAATATATGCAGATTCTCGTTCATTTATTTGTAAATGTCACACAAGTGGTATAAGCTCACGTTAACTTTAACATGTACAAACATTACTAGATATGCATAATACATTTGACTAATTAATTTCAAATCTGAGCATCTTTATCATACTCAAAGCTGTCCATCTGGCTGGCCAACTGATCTAAATATGAAATAATAACGTGTGTGTTTTGTGTATTTCTATACATTGTCCTTAGATCCATTTATAATCTGAAGATCATAGCATGTTATATTTCAATGATTCTTCAAAAGTGAGTTTTGATCACACAACTAAATATCTCTTTCCCTTTCTCTCTTCCTGCCTTACAGAATTGCCAGCAGAAGAAGGTAGGCCTGATTCTTTTGTGTTTGCCCTCACTATTCAAATGCTTATTTGTGGCAATTCTCTTATCTGTTCTTATGCAACCATGTCTCTTTGTCTGACAGGAAAATCACTGTGGGAGCTGGTTGTGGAACAGTTTGAGGATCTCTTAGTCAGGATTCTTCTTCTAGCCGCATGCATATCTTTTGTAAGTACTGTATCTGTAGTGGTTGTAAAAGACAAAAAGCTTTTCTTTTCCACAGATGGCAATGTAAGACTGGAATAGCAGTGGTTCAGGCTGTGTTGCCAGCGCCCTATAGCTTTACCAGCCTATATTCTTGACTGACTCATGCTGATTATTAACATACTGAAATTTCTAATATCGTATTTTAGATTTTTGAAAAGAACAGCCCATATAGACAGCATAATGTTTTACCATGAATTCAACTTAGTTAAACTTTAGTGATCCCAACAGGGCAATTTTAAGGCAGACAAGAGCCATAAAACACGTATGACATAAAAGCACAGACCACATGAAGACAAAGGTGGAATTATCTGCATAGTCCATAGTTTAAAACATATAGTAAACCGTGTGCTAAGGCATAATTATGTTTCTGAGTTCAGATGAACGTTGTTAATGCTCATATATTCACTCATTCGTTCACAATTGTAAATATTCTCTCTCGGCTCACGAGTCGTGAGACCTGACTTTGTGACTGTCTAGCTTTGTATGCAGTTTTTAGTCCGTGTGTTCTGTAGCATTACTGAATATGCACAGTACATTTCACAGTATACAATATTTTCTAGTTAAAAAATCATGATTTATATCTATATATTTGGTTCCGTGTACTTGAGCTAACCTTAACATAATCTAAAAGAAGTAGACGTTGAAGAGCCGTGCAGTAACAGTGCACAGCAGAGAGAACTAGTAACTACTTTCTTAACAAACATGAACCCCAGTTTCCCTACCAGGCTTTTAAACAGTAAATTTCCCCTCTTTAGTTCTCTCTCACGTCTCTTTCCCAACATGGTGACTATCACCTTTTACACTTTGCCATCGAGTTGCTTATCTTCGATGATATCCAGTTACGTTGCCCTGTCGTCCAGACCTAACACGATCTTTATCATGCTCAAAGCCATCCATCTAGCAGGCCAACTCTGATGAAAGTACACTACGGAAAGTGTTTGTGCTGTCAAAGTAAAATCTGACGTTTGAGTATTTGTCAAATTCAGAGAAAGAAGGCGTGTTCGAATGCAGACAGTGTTCATTCGTATGTTCACAGCTACTTCTTTTGTGTCTCCTAGTTTGTCGGCAGTCGACTGGCGTGTCTGTTACCTAGCAACCGACCGTACGCGCACAGAAATGTAAACACGTAATCAGGTTAGTTAGCCAGACAGTTAACGTTAGCTACCGTTACTGAGGTAAAAAAGGTCAAATAAAACTAAAGCGCGATGAACTGAAAGTTAATATTATTGTGTCAGAGCTTCGTGCTGTCGCCGCTCTCAGTTTCAGTTTCATTTCCCAAACGCTTTAACTGAACGCGCTAACGTTATTCCTCCTAATAAACAGACACACGTTCAGCTCCGTCTCCTCATTATACCTCATTATACGATACCATCATTGTAATATTTTATCTGATGGGGATTTTTCATCAAAACATTAACAAACTAAGGTAATAATAGGGGACGGTGGAGATCGAGTCTGCAGCGTCTGAGGTTTTAAAACGCTGTTATAAAAAACCCTCACAAGTCAAAGCACCATTTTCAATGTAGATAAATGTAGCGTCATTATGTCAGTTATAGTGAAATATGCTGCCTCTCACTGCATAAAACAATAGAATCAGACGGTTAAAACTAAGACGCTCTGGGGTTCATCTTAAAGTTAGGACAGAATTTAGGAGGTTTAGTCTGGTTAGGATGTTTCTGTAATACAGTTTTCTTATCTGGAGTTAATGGACAAGATTATGAACTTAGCTTCTCTCCTAAATTCAGTCCTAACTAAAGTTGTCATGGCAACTGAGCAGATGAGAAGATTTCAGACTTAAGAAGTTTCTGTAATACTGCCCCAGGCCATTTGCGTAACTGCAGGAACGTGCCATTACTGACCATAAACAAATGTATTTTGGCTCTAAAAAGGATTGTATGGGGTTTAACATACTATGGAGCAAACATCTGACCGGATTTCAGCAGCTCAGTCATTCTGAACACGGCAGAATGTTTATAAACCGTATGACGCTGATGGGCAGAAATACATGTGAATAATCTACTTCAGACAGCAGACTTTACTGACAAGCCAACGTTCTGAGCGTGGAAGCTTTGTAGCATAGTCAGCTAATAATCACCTAATGTTTACAGGATATTGAAGCTGCATGGCTAAGCTGCAACACAGCTACTGCAGCCACCTGTGACAGTTACAGACTTCAACTCTGAACATTACACCACATGTTCGACAATGTAAATGAGGTCTTTAGCTCCCGTTCTGGCCGGGCTAAGTTACGCTGTTGGAATGAGAGGCATGGTGTGAGTTTAAGAGGGCTCAGGAAGCCAGTCCTGTCTGGAATAGTGTGAACAGCATGTGAGATTAGGATCCTCTGTGTTGCTCAATGAGTTACCTTATACTGCCGCTATCCGTTTGTCCTACAGGCTTCCTGCTGCAGCCGTAATAGCCCCTTTCCAATAGCAGTGTTTGTTACAACAACACTGTTGCTTATTATGATAATGAATGCATTGACGAGGCATAAATAAGCAGGGAAAAAGGATGGGCCTCGTGAATATGACAGGCTGGCGCGTCAAGCGTTTAACCTCGGTGACCTCTTTGTCCTCCTTCCGTTTTGGCACTCGCTGTAGCGTCCCACAGCTCAGATATCTCTTGCCGTGAGCTGGGTGATGATGGCCTGGAATCTGGCCTGTAAATCAGTCGCAGGGTCATGCACTCACTCACTTTTTCTCTGGTGTTCCTTTCCCGCTAGTTATCTCAATGGAGTTATTCAGTCAGCACTTTGTGTCCTGCTGCTGCTTACTGCAGTCCCTAAAGAGATGTGTGAGTACAGGTCTCGTGAGAGATCTCCCGATCACGATTGTTTATAATCAACGTGCATGGAATGGCTGGAGTGGCAGCTCATCCAGCTGATGACTTCATTCTGTCTGTGCTTGCATTGGAGCTTTAATTGGACCTGAAATTTTGGTCCAAATCTGAATTTAGATCGAGAACATTCTGCTCGAGGCTAACTTGATCTACGGTATCAAGTATTTAGAGTGATAGCAGATTTATTTTGCCCCAAATTATGCTTTATTTTCTGCCACTTCAGGTTTTCTCAGCATTTTTAAACAGGTTTTTTTTATGTTTGCTTATTTTTAAGAAGAGAAAAAGAAAAAGAGGATAAAAAAAATTATAGTAACAAACAGAAAATGCACTTTGAATTTTTTTTATTGAATCTCCTGACCGCACTTAATAACAGCAAGCAAAGTTTGGGTCATAAATCAGATTTATAAATGGGTGAATTAATTTATAACTTGCACTTATTCACCTCTCCACTCACATTTAGCAAGCAAAAGATTCTCCACAAGGGGGAGCTGTTAACACTCAGGTTTTGTGTTCATGACTGAATGAGAGGAAACTGGCATGAACCCACACCAGCAAGATCTTATGAGTTCTGCGTTTTGTTTCGTATTCTTTATATTGCAGAAATCATAGGGTCCTGTTTCAGGTTCAGAGTCTAAACCTGACCTGACGTTAAAAACATTATGTCTGAATCCAACCCGAAACTGACTGTGACTAGTTGGAAACAGCAAGAATGACATTCGTCATAAGATCATAGATAAGCAAAACAAAAAAGCTCACCAGCTCGTCAAAATGAAATTGAATTTCTCATGAACATATATACATAAATCAGTTCTCCACAATAATCTCTATAAACTTTTACATAGGCTAATGTGTGGTTTCCATGCTGGCCTCGTGGACCTCGGTGGTCTTCCCTGCCAGCAGTGTGACCACAGCACGCCAGATTAAAAAATTAATCAAGGTATTGAAGTAGGAAGATCTAAAGTAGGAGTAAATCTGTTAAAGGTGGGAGACAGGCTATGAATAACATGAACATGATCAATGAAAAATATTGATAAATGATGACTCATGGCTTCAGTTTGGGTTTCATATTCAGGTTTCACATGGCCGCCTACTACCTTTTAACAGGTTTATATTTAATGCCTTCGATATTCCCAGTCACACAGCTTGTTATGGAAAGGTGTAACAGCAAATTAGCTGCACTTATCTGATTAGATTTTGAAACACCTAAACGCAGTAAAGATCTGTGCTTCTAAAAACACCCCCAGTTAGTGTTATTTTGTGTCTTTGGACTTTGAAGTAGGTTATAGGCAGCTGGCATAGGGGAATACTATGTGACATAGTTGTAGAGTGGCCTAGATTATTGCTGTAAAGACAGAAACTCGCACATACAGAGCTAAAGATGTTACATTTATTAATTATTTGCAGCTTACTTTGGGTAATTATCAATCTGTGAAGGTTTAGTCTGCAGTGGATGCTTAGTGTTTATCAGCGAAGATAAAAATCACGGACTCGGATAATGTTTTGTGTAGATTCAGTGGCACAAATGGTGCTAATTTTCTTTCTAATTTTAAATGAACTGCCTGCCATTCTTGCTTCTTTGATGATTAATTGGGAGAACAGTTTGTCTTTCCATTAGGGCTGAGGACAATGGCCATACCCGGTAACGACAATGAGATTAGCTGTTACGTAAGGTCATTGTTTTAACCCCTTTACAACTAGGTTGTACTGTGACCCGGTTGATCATCTTAAAAGGACGCTATGAAAATGGAATGATACTAATATTGCCTGTGTGGGTTGTGACATTTGGAAATTTTACATACTTCCTTTATCTGCCTTTGTTATGCACGTTCTGTTGTGGTAACGGTGGTGCCTAAATAACCGTATTTAGCCCATAAGAAACGTGTATAGTATACAGAAGGTAGATACACCGATCAGGCATAACATTATGACCACCTCCTTGTTTCTACGCTCATTGTCCATTTTATCAGCTCCACTTACTATATAGGTGCACTTTGTAGTTCTACAGTTACAGACTGTAGTCCATCTGTTTCTCTGCATACTTTTTTAGCCCCCTTTTACCCTGTTCTTCAGTGGTCAGAACCCCCATGGACCCTCACAGAGCAGGTAGTATTTGGGTGGTGGATCATTCTCAGCACTGCAGTAACACTGATGTGGTGGTGGTGTGTTAGTGTGTGTTGTGCTGGTCTGAGTGGATCAGACACAGCAGTGCTGCTGGAGTTTTTAAACACCTTAGTGTCACTGCTGGACTGAGAATAGTCCACCAACCAAAAATATCCAGCCCACAGCGTCCTGTGGGCAGTGTGAGGGTCCATGGGGGCCCTGACCACTGAAGAACAGGGTAAAAGGTGGCTAAAAAAGTATGCAGAGAAACAGATGGACTACAGTCTGTAACTGTAGAACTACAAAGTGCACCTATATAGTAAGTGGAGCTGATAAAATGGACAATGAGCATAGAAACAAGGAGGTGGTCATAATGATATGCCAGTATCCAGACGCCCCTTCTATTTAGTGACTTAAGCTACTTCAATGTGCACCAATTGACACAGACATGTACACAGTTTGTGTAATCTGTATAGAAAAGCATTGCTAATAGAGTGGTACACTCTAGAGCAGCCGCACATGAGCCTAACACAGATTTGACACCAGACACAACACATCAGCATCACGTAAGCATAGCGTATGCGAAGCGCGTGCAGCCGTTTGTCCAATAAACTCAGATCTGTTGTGTAAACACTTCAGGCGGGAGTATCAGTGCTTTATCTCCTTTTTTTCCTGTTTAAAATGTTTCGTATAAGTATAAAACTTGACAGCACTGTCAGCAGATCTGTTTGTTTTGATGAAGTCACAGTTACAAATTAGTATGGCTTTTTTTGTAGAAGCTGTTAGTCAAATGGTGTTTGTCACTTCTCAACATGTACATCGGAACAAAATGTTCTTCTGGCCACATGGTGCAACACACAACAGCAGTACAGTACACAGGACTACGTAGAGTTCTACGCAGATACATGACGGTGTGAAACGAGTGCAGAATATACAGTAAATACACCAGACAATGGATAAATAACAGTATATCACTGCTGTTGGAAAGAAAACCTTGTATCTTCATTTTTGTCACTTTTCAGATTTTGACATAATTTGAAAATACCTGTTCCCCTTTACATTGTATGTAAATTTCATGATGAATGGACCAAAAGAAACGGCCCAAAATTACTTGGAAAGAAGTCTGGTTCCATTGACTTACATTAAAAGTAAAGTAGGTTTTTTCCTTCTCCTGTAAAGTTCTCATTTTGGAGATACATGGTTTTCTTCCGACAACTTTAATATGTTACTGCAGCAAACTCCCTATAAATACCCTTGATTTCAGAAGAAAGGCTGGACGAGCGGGTGTCTACAAACTTTTGGACATGTACCTTTCACCAAATATACAAAATACAGCTTGTGCTGAAGTAGTTGTGTTGGGTGTTGAGTAAGATTAGGTATGAATAATTGCGGCCCACTGGATGCAGATAACTGCACTGTGGCATTAAGAGTGACCGGCTTGTTTTCTCAAAGAAAGCTCAATGTCTCCAGCTTTTATAGGAGATACAGAACGAGCTTCAGTGTCTGCGTAAATTTAATCGGCCGTCCAGCTAGATGGAGTGCCTGCTTTGTCTGTGCCAGGCCAGCAGGAGCGCATGCATTAAACATAACTCGCCTCATTAAATAGCTGACAGCAGGCTCACAGAGACCACAGTCATGCTTCTTGATAAAGGGCGACATGCCCAGGGTACAAAATCTGTGATGCAGCAGGCCTACTGATTGTCCTAACACGTTCTCGGCCACCATTGTCTCCCCGTGCAATTGCTCTAATACTGGATGTCGCACTGACCTTGTAATCGTCTTCGCATATAAATTCGGTTTGAAGCTTTGCAGCTGAGAATGAGCGTGTGATTGAATAAGAACCTAAAAACCATAATTCTGAAATCAGTATTTGGCAGATTTCCTTCTCATTAAGCATTTCCTTCTAATTTTCTCTCTTTTTTTCTCTCTCTAGGTACTGGCCTGGTTTGAAGAGGGAGAAGAGACCATTACGGCTTTTGTGGAGCCTTTTGTAATACTGCTAATTCTTATAGCCAACGCCATCGTAGGGGTCTGGCAAGTAAGTGTACCTCTCTTTCCTCAATTTTGTCTTTCGAACAGTTGATTAAACACCCAGTGTTTAGGTTCCTTCATTACACATTTCTGTGATTGAATTAAAATTGATAGGCCTAAAACAGGTACAAGTATGAGGTCTGATAGTGTGTCATTGTTGTAAGTGAGCTAGAAATTCAGTTTTAGAAATATAGTTTTTGTTAATGTTTATTGCCATGCTGTCTGGTCTCACCGCTTGACCTCAAGACTGAGTGGACAAGCAACCACTTGCTTCAGATTCAGAAGACATTGAGTGTGATGGATTGTGTAGAAGTATTTATTTGCAGCTCTTAGCATTAGCCAACCATTGGCGCACACCACCAGTAGTAGGGCTGTGCTGTATGACTATATTTATTGTTATTGTGATAAATCATGTCACACTGCATCACATTGGAGCATGTTGTCAGTATTTTAATGGTCCATATCCTACGTTTTTCTCATGTTTTATTTTTATTTTCACCCCAAAGGCCACTTACAATGTTTGTACAGCAAAATTGTTTATGCACCACAAACAGTCATAATTCTTTTTTTCTATTTTTTTTTTCTTTTTTTCTATTTTCCTACCACTCTTTAACCCATTAGACTTAAACAGGGTGTTTTTGTTACTGATACTCTAAGGCTAAGTTCACATTTCCAGGTTGAAGTGGCACAAATCTGATTTTTTTTTTTTGGTTTTTTTTTGGGTTTTTTTTTGCGCTAATGTTGCTCAGATATCTGATGTTTTCAGATGCAAATCTGATCTTTTGAAATCCGACCTGAGTCACTTTCATATGTGGTCCTAGATCAGATGCGTATCCGATTCGTGGCCATGCGACCGTAATGTGATGCTCAGATTGGAATTCGTGTGCTTTTTACCCACTCTGCGTGCGCCATCATTCAGCGTTACCATGGCAGCAGCGCCGAACAGAAGTTAAAGCCTGTAAACGATGGAAAAGCAGCTCATCTCACCTTTTTCTCCTTCGTCTCGCTCTAATAATGAAGCTGAGAGCTGATCAGAGTTAATTATCTTCTCAGCAAAGCTCGTTCTGCTCGTTAGTTTGTGCTGATGATGAACGTGATTCATTCACGTCACGTTACTGAGTAGGATGTGCTCATGAGGGTCATTTCAGGACGCCAGCTCGTTCACATTAATGACAGATTTGAATCACTTACCTAAACGAGTGTGAACCGTCGTGTCAGAGAGATCGGATTTGAGCAATGAGGCTTGTAATGTGAACATAGCTTAAGGCTGATATTCGAAAAGCAGCCCAGGCTGAAACACTGCTTATAACTTCACCGTGAACAGGAGGAGCCAAACCACTGAACAGGTCGATACAGTTGTAGGTTAGGGCAGCCCTGGCCAAATGATGTGTTTTTGTTGATTTTCTAACAAGAAATAAGTTAACATATCCTCCACAAGCAATACACTACAGCATATTTGAAACATAGTGTGGCATGTTCAGTCGTGTTTAATTGCATTTAGTGCGGTATATGAAGTGTTGAATACAAATCTAGTCCAGCTCGTACAGGTGGGCTTCTACCTTGCCTAGCCTTATTCTTTGGACTACTTTGAGCTTCTTTTTGCGGTCAGCTTTAGCATGGACTGAATGCACAGTCAGTTTTTTTTGCATTTATGTTCCTTTTTTCATAATGAAATTAGCCTTGTTATGGAAATGAAAACACGTGAATGCCTCCTTTTTGCGCGTCTTAAGATAGCCCTGGCTTCCCAGTGGATCCCCAGTGTAGAGCTGAGGGCCTATTTTCTACGGCTCCTCCCAGTGGCCCTGAAACCCATGTCCCAGTTTCCACTGCATCATTTTATTTTAGTCACCATTCATTACCCAGGCTGGCCTGAGAATCCCCAGCCTTCACCCCTCCAAACAGCCAAGTCTGCTCCTTAAAGGAGGAAACATTGCAGTGTGATCCTGGGCCCTGGTTCCTTATAGCAGTAATGTATTTTTGCCCTGCCCAGCAAAGTCCTGTTATGTCCTAAAATGTCCTAAAAGTCCTAAAATGGCCACTTAATTGACCTATACATGCTCGGCCCACAGCTACCTTCTTCTGTAGCAACTATTGCTATGGATTGGGCAAACTTTACAGACCACTGGCAAAACCACATTCAAATAAAGTTGCTGTTGGGGGACGGTAGTTTGCTGTCGTAGTAGACAATATGCATTTCTGATCATCCGTACATGAAGAAAACTGACTAAGATTTTTAATTACAAGAGCATAATTAGTCCTGTTTCAATTAGATTTATGTGTGAAATGTTGAATAATATTCTTCAACATGTACTTTTCCAAATTGCCCACCCCAGTTGTAGTTTAGAGGTGGTACATAATATTGGGTTTCCAGTTTAAATATCTTTTAATGTTAGCAATTTCTTACTTTGTTTAAATAAAGTAATAAATTAATAAACTGGGCCGTGAACGCGGCGTTTAATGTTTTAATGGTAGCGGTTCCTTCTGCCAAATTATAGTTCCTTAACAAGCAGCTTGTTGCTACGTCATAGTAACGAACTCCGCTCACTCGCTGCACAGCCTGCAGTTTGTTCTCCAGCTCCTTACACTAAATTACGAAACTGTCATCACCACTGAGCAGCTTTTCAATCGGCAGCTGTGAACAGAAGAACAGCTAAACAACCTGGAATCAGCCAGAAATGAACCGAATACCATTCAACAAGCATGTAGTCTGATCTTCAGAGTCTGATCAAATCGGACTGAACCATAAAACTGCCGCAATATCAAGTTTAGCTCAGTTTTTGCCAGATCAGTATTAATGTTGTTTTGTTCCAGCCAGTCTGTAAAGCATCTTACAGCCCATTTAGTTGGCGAATGGTATTGGGTTCATTTCTGGCTGATTCCAGGTTGTTTAGCTGTTCTTCTGTCACAGCTGCCGACTGAAAAGCTGCTCAGTGGTGACGACAGTTTGGGAATTTAGTGTAGTCTCATCTTCAGAGTCTGACCAAATCGGCTGTCGGTCAAATGTGATCTTGCAAGTGTCCATTTTCTGTTTGTGGCAAAGTAAGAAGTAAAAACGTTGAAATGGCTTGAGCATCTCCTACAGCTGTCAGAGTCGTTGCTTAGCAACGGCGTCTCAGTGGAGTGATACAGTGTTTGTGAAAAACCTGTGATGTTATTTCGCCGTAACAGCACAGTTAGAACGCTTCTCAACCAATCAGCTCGCATGGCCGGAACTAACTGTTGTATAATAGAGGGCAAAGTAACTAAATTTGATCGATCCTGAAAGTGTAACCTTTCAAATGCATACCAGATAAAGATCATTTGAAGTTTAGAAAACTCTCTGTTGAATATTTGACAAAAATGGTGATCTGTGCCATAATTTCTAGGGATGCACTGATATGAGATTTTTGGGCCTTTGCTGTAATCCAATAGTTTTATGTACATGTCTTCCAGTGTCAATACTGATGTTGTAGGGCTGGGCGATAAAACGATAACGATAAGTATCGCGATATAACTTTTCCTCGATAGAGCGATAAGACAGGTTCGATAAATGTTCGATATAATACACCACTCTCACACCTCCACGAAAGCCCTGGTGGCGTTTTCTACTGCAAGGAAAGCGACACTACTCTGCTGTCGCCAGGAGAGGGCGCACTTCCGAGTTTTTCGACTTGATTAGAGAGGGAGGGGGCCACGAGTAAAAAAAAAAAAGGGTCGCCAAATATACTTTAGCAACGGCTGAAACGCAGAGTTATACAGTCCCTGTCTGAGTGGAGCGACCGGCGATCTGTTCTCCTGTGACCGAGTGTGAGTGACGAGGTCAGTGGTGTAACTGTACTGTCCTACAGTGAACTCACCTCTTTCCGTGCATCCTAACAACTTCAGTTCAATCATGTCTACAGCGCCAAACCGTCATATTTTAGTATTAGTGCATTCTCGAGCAACGGAAGTGAAAGAAAGAAGTGGGTTCATGTTCATTACAGCCCTGATTTAAACGAAAGTAAACTGAGGAAGCTGTGAGGCGTTGGGAAGCGGGAGAGTGCTAGGTTAGCTTTCCAGGCTAGCTGTTTTTAGCTGCTGGCTAACTTGAAGCAGCGCTCCGGCACAACACGGTGAATTGATGATACTGTAGATCAAACAAGACACAAAATCACCGCTTTCAGTTTAAACATACCTAAAAGGAGGACTCTGTGACTGGAGTGAGAGATTCACACTGCAGATAATGCTTTTACACAGCGAACGTCAGATATACTGCGGTTCACCCCTTAAACTACTACGGTAGCATAGAGAAACCCAGTCGTCTAGCTGGTGTCTGAATACTGTGATATGCTCTGACATGGACATTTATCGCGATATGTATCGATATCGAACGATATGAATTTTGTTTATCGTGATAACGTTTTTGGCCATATCGCCCAGCTCTATGATGTTGATACACAAACATTTATAAAATGTAGAAACCAGAATTTGCTTCTGTAGAGTTACAAATGCAGTCAACCAAGACATTTTGCATAGAAGCTTAGCATCTAAATAGAATTCCCTTCTGGAGCACAAGAAAAATGTCAAATACCAGCCACATGTTTGAAATACCAGCCACGTCTAATCAGTCCGATGCTACGAATATTTATGTATTTATTTGTTTGCAAATGTCTACTAATAGTGTTATGATTCAGATATTATTGTGCATCCCTAACTGTTTCCTATTAGATTGAATGGAATTTTTGTCAACGGTCTGTTAAGCTTGTCTAACTCGAACACATCTGTGGGCAGAGCATGGTTTGGATACGTCTCAGGCTCTGTTTATTAGAGGCGGAAGCTACGGAGGTATAATATCTGGGCACCACAGTGGCTGGAGTGTTGTGGAGCTCATTACCTTCCTCCCTGAGGGAGCACCTTTTTTGTTTTGGATCAGGGAGGTGGAATTTCGGGGAATGCCTCTCTACGCACCTGCTCTGGAGCCGGGTCTGGAGATTTCTGAAACCTGTTAAGTGTCAGCAGTAAATAACTACGGCTGTTTCTCAGCAACCAGGCCAGGGGCAGCTGCTTAGGGGCAAAGGTGGTATTGCACATCGCCTATCTGGTGTGTGCACTGACTGTTCTTTGTGATGTTTTATCAGAGCCAGTGTTCATGGAAGAGCGTACAGTAAAGGATGACTCATAACTAGGGTGATGACTGCTGCAGTTGGTTTTCCTGTAGAGTATTTTTTTTCAGTTTATCGACTTATCTAACGGCTATGGCTCTGTTTCCGTGAAGAAATACATTTGAATAATGTCACAGAGACCTTAAGTTGAAATATCGTCCCAAATATTAAATAGCTTTTCTTTACATTACCGTTAAACTTCTTGTAACTACCTTACTCTGAAATCCTACAAATGACAAATGTCAGAGCAGTTGTGGTGAATCAGAAGTATGATTGCGTACAAGAAGTTAGTGTTTAAAAAGAAAACCATTTTTTGGTAACACTTTCTATGAATGTCACCTTTGTAAGCATCTATAAACACATTTATAATATGTTATAATGTATTCATAAGGCATTATAAACATGGTTTTAAATATTTATAAAAAAGAATTACACAATTACATTTTATAGCCATTTTTATTATACATTATGAATTGTTAATATAATGCATTATAAATAGTGTTAATAACATGTTATAATGTTTGTGCCAAAAAAGTCAGTCCCAGCTTGGAGAGCGTAAAGTAAAGACAAATACCAAGCTAACGGTGGTGTACATTACCTTTCCCACATTGGGTAAAACACTGATGGCAGCACTAGTTTAAACTCTGACATTTGAAGCCTGTAATGTGCTTTATTGTGATGTTTTAGTGTTTCAGTAAATCCTTCAGTAAATACTTCAACTTGAAGCCTCACTCTGAACACTGGAGGAGGCTTTAGTACAGTACGCTTCACTTTACTTAGAGCGGACAAATACCACTTATGAGCTCTTATAATTTATGATCAGTACTTATAATGTATTACGTTAACAATTCATAATGCATAATAAACATGGCTATAACATATAATGCATTTTTATAAATATTTATAGCTATGTTTATAATGTCTTATGAATGCATTATAACATGTAATGAATGTTTATAGATGCTTACAAAGGTGACATTCATAGAAAGTGTTACCCATTTTTTTTATTAAAGTCTCCAAACTGTTGAAAAAAGCTTTTAGCTCATGTTTAATCATTTACCTGTTTCCCATTTTTACCACTGTGTATATGACTCTGAGTGGAGCATGTCGGTCTGCACTGCTTGTTGGTTAAAGGTTTCTGTATTATGCGTTTTACGGCTGGCAGAAATGACTGGCACATTTGTAATTTTATGACTGTGTATTACATAGATTTTTACCGTTTGTCATCTTTGTTGTCCCAAGAACACCCTAAAACAGATCTAACATCATCTTGTACTCTACTTTTGTCCTCCCCAGGACGACTGGACAGCGTTATTCAGCGTTATTCCTTGACTGTACTGTCGCTCTTAACTAGGCTGTTATATCTAGTGAAACTAGTGTTTCAGCCTGGACCTAAAAATACATTCTCAGGAAAAAAAGTACTAAACTGTCACTGGGGCAGTTCCCTTCTTGTCACTGGGGTGGGACCCTCAGGGGTACATCTGAGTACCTTTTAGTCAGGGAACATAACTGAACCATAATCCACTGAAATTGTATTTTCTAAGATGTACTGCCTCCACACACCCCGTCTCGTCTCCAGGCTTTTACTTTATTGTTCTGTTATAAAACATTTGGTTATTAAAAGGTACAAATATGAACTTTTCACCACATATTTATGGTGCACAACTGGACCTTAAAACCACTGTAATACCTCTGAGGGAACATTTACATTGTTTGTACCTTGATGAGCAAAAAATGTTCCTGTACAGAACCTTTATTTCTAACAGTGTATACCAGTTTTATAGGCAGAGTAACCAAAGCAACTTGTTTGTTTCTAAGCGATAAAGCGAGGTTGGAAAATGGGCATGTAAAAAATTTATCACAACTGTCTGGAACATTAAAAACAGTTATTACTGGACCTCAGGGAATAAAATACAGTCGAATAATAATGTAAGGTATGTTATTTATTTTATTTCCAACATTTTAAAGTCAGTAAATAAATAGAAATTGTGTGCTAAAGTGTCCTCTGTAGAAGAGCTTATATTCACGTAGACAGGTGACAAAATATGTAGTTGGACCGAGGGTGTTCAAACTTTTGCATACGCCTGTAAGTGTGAAATACCTTGTACGTTGCTCACCCTGTCTTGCAGCTGTGAAATGGTCACACTCATTGGATAGTGGTGTCAGTTAACTGACACAAGTTTAAACAGTGAAAGTTTTTGTCATAATGGTAAACTTTGACATTGCAAGGCTGCTGCAGGGAAGCTCTGGTGAGTGTGGCCTTGGGGAACTTCTGTTTTTTATGATCTGAAGTCCTCTTTTTAGTGAATGGCTCTCTTGGCTTTGCTTCTTGATCGTATTTGTTCTGATCCTTATCCAAACCGCAGCTCGCTGCAACCCCGCTAGAGGAGTTATGCACAAGCTCTTTTTATTATGTGAAAATACTGAGGCTGTCGACCTGCTTCTTGTGAAAGCAAAATTGTCCACTTGGCCATTTTCAACCACATCCGGCCACAAATGGTGAGAGCCTGCAGCGCTTATGATTCTTAGATAATGCCTGTAACTTTTGGCCGTGAGACTTTTATGGCAAATGTAAAGAGCCCAATGTGCTCTGGGTCTTTTTAGCTTAACGCTCTTTCAAATTGTTACACAACAAGTACTGTAAAACCAACACTTTCCTTCTGTGCTTATTATAGCATTTCCGTCAAAGTTAGCTGCAACCTGTGTCGATTTGTCAATGACACTTGGGTTTCTTTTCATGCTTGGTTGTAATAAGGGCTGCACCAACATTCATATTTTGACTCCCTGGTCTTGAGAATGACTCAAGTTCTTTGACCTAGAGATGTCAGCGCAACAGGAAACGAGTATATGTTTAATTAGCCGCCTCAAGCGAGTTTAAATCATTGAAAGTTTCCCCATGTCAGTTAAAGAATTTTATTTGAATGTGTACAAAACCTGAACTGCATACATTTTTAATTACTTTTGAGTTGTGCAGCAGGTGCTTTGCTTAAAATGTTCTGTTTAGCCAACATCCAGCTGTATATATAATATAATATAAGATATAAAATAAAGAACAGGGTAGAAGGGGGCTAACAAAGTATACAGAGAAGCAGATGGACTACAGTCTGTAATTGTAGTACTACAAAGTGCACCTATATAGCACACGCTCACTCATTACGTTATTAGGTACACCTACCTTGTATCTACATTTATTGACCATTTTATCAGCTCCATTTAGTGCGCCTAGTTCTATAGTAACAGACTGTAGTCCACCTGTTTCTCTGCATACTTTATTAGCCCCCTTTCACCCTGTTCTTCAATGCTCAGGCCCCGCACAGGACCACCACAGAGCAGGTGTTATTTAGGTGGTGGGTCATTCTCAGCACTGCAGTGACACTGATGTGGTGGTGGCGTGTTAGTGTGTGGTACGAGTGGATCAGACACAGCAGTGCTGCTGGAGTTTTTAAATGCTGTGTCCACTCACTGTCCAATAGAGTGGACAGTGAGTGGACACTCCTACCTTGTCAGTCCACCTTGTAGATGTAAAGTCAGAGACGATAGCTCATCTGCTGCTGCTCAGTTTGTGTTGGTCATCCTCTAGTCCTTCATCAGTGGTCACAGGACGCTGTTGGCTGGCTGTTTTCGGTTGGTGGACTATTCTCAGTCCAGCAGTGACACTGAGGTGTTTTAAAACTCCAGCAGCACTGCTGTGTCTGATCCACTCGTACCAGCACAACACACACTAACACACCACCACCACGTCAGTGTTACTGCAGTGCTGAGAATGATCCACCACCCAAATAGTACCTGCTCTGTGAGGGTCCATGGGGTCCTGACCACTGAAGAACAGGGTAAAAGGGGGCTAACAAAGTATGCAGAGAAACAGCTGGACTACAGTCTGTAACTGTAGAACTACAAGGTAGATCTGATCATTTTCAGTGAGTGTAGATACAAGGTAGGTGTACCTAATAATAAAGTGACCATTGAGTGTGTGCGCGCATTTGTGTATATGTTAACCAGAATTCTGTTCAGTAACTCTTGCGGATACTTGAATATCGAAATTTACCTGCTACATGTCAGTCGTCCGTAAAGGTCTGGACCCCTGAAGCTGGCTAGAGCTGTTTGCCCAAAATGGATGCTTTGTGTTTCCATCATACGTAAGAGTCCAACAGAAGCCTCCTGCTAAAAACTGCTGCCAAGTCGGCTGCCACCAGCAAGTGGGTCCCTCAGGATTGATCGCAGCATAAGCTAAAGGTCACACTAAACAGATTGTTTAGTTTTGGAGCAGAGGAAGGAGGGGTGGGTGTAGGGAGTTCTCCTAAACCGTATCTGATGGCGAACTGACATTTCTTAGTCTGAGAGAAAAAGTAATTCCCATGATTGGCCGGCATTGCCCCGCATTGTTTGACCAACTGGGAGATATGCCCTCTAATTAAGGTTAATGGCTAACTTTTTTTGGCACTCATCACGGATCTGTGAACGTGATGGCAACAGTCTAAAGTTCCTTCAGCCGCTAGGCTGTTATAGATAAGTGACTAGATTGGCTCTCTGGCTCAGGTTTTGTCCTCCACGCCTACAGAGAGGTTGTTGAGTATGCGATACGTAATCTGTTCTTTTTTTGGAATATTTATATCTTTTTGTTCACTTTTACCCTTGCAGGAAAGAAATGCAGAAAATGCCATCGAGGCCCTCAAGGAGTATGAGCCCGAGATGGGCAAAGTCTATCGGCAAGACAGGAAGAGTGTGCAGAGGATCAAAGCCAGAGACATCGTGCCTGGGGACATTGTGGAAGTCGCGGGTAAGATGGTCTAATTTAAAACCCTTTTGGTATTAAATTCCAGTGCACTGAATTGTTTTAGGCAGTCTTATCAGTGGAAACAATAGCTGATTAAAATAGCATCGCCAGCTGTCATTGTACCACCCAGATGGTCTCTGTCAGGGTTTTGAGGTGTTGGGTTCCCCTTGGTTTAGTTTTACACTGCCCTACCATTAGCCTGTACCACTGCCGTGGGTGTGTGTATGTTTCTGGATAAAGGTGCTGTCATTAAACATGACTAGACATGAGAGGAGGACTGATCAAAGCTCTGCGTCATTGCTGCTTCAGAAGGAACACCTCACCCACGACTCTTCATTGCGTTTGTCAACACTGTTTGGCATTGATTGCTGTAATGAATGCTTTTTGCTCCTTGTTCCCCGAAAAGGCAGAGCTAATGATGCAGGAAATAAATTGCTCTTCTACCCAGGAGTGAAACAATACCTAGCTTGGTGTCAATGTGCTGCATCTCCTCCAGGCCTCTGTCGTTTCTTTTCGCTTGGATCATCTGTGGAATTATCAACAGTGCCCCTTACTCCGTTGCACTGTTTTCCCACGCTCCCCTTCCTCTCCCTTACCGTGTGAATGACATGAGATGATGATTTACCTTTTTTATTTTTAGATGGTTTTCCGTAGTTTTGCTCACTAGCTTGCAAATTAACATCTTGTCTGTTTAACTAGAGCTTCACAGGACCTAAAGCAATGCAGTTTAATCTCACAGTTGCTCTTAACATGCATGATGCTACTGCCTTGGAGCAGTGTGGAGACATTTGTATAAGTTGTGAGTAAACATCGTCAAATATGCTGAGATTTGGATCCAAAAAAAGGCACCGAACAAACTACAACTAAGCACCACAACATGTTTTAGGAAATCAGGATAATTAAATATATAAATTGCTAACTTGTGTTCCCATTGGGGATGAACTGTTTTCAGGCAGATTACACCAGCGGGATACTTCAGGCAAATGTTTATGATACACAATATGATGGATATTGATAGATGTTTTTATCTGATCAGCTGGAACAGAAAAAAACACTGAGCACAAGTGACTTTTATTTGGCACATTACATACTGTGCCGCCCTAAATCCAGTCAAACTTATATTAGTTAAACTGTCTCTATAATGAAATTTGCAGCTGGTCAGTGTTTTAGGAGTGCTGACCGTATCCACAGTGTGCTCAGAGAAGTGATGTAATTTATCATGATAATTGTACATTTTGTCATGTTACCCCTCCCTGCACAAGCAGCCATTTAACTGGGTAACCTTCTTACTTTCGGAAGATGAATACTAGTCTCTTTTCTGTGCAGCAGATTTGGCAAAATACACAATAGGCTTCAGGTATCAATATAAAGCGCTTAGGCAAAACATAGTTATCTGTGCCAGAAAGAATGACTGGTTTGGACGCCCCATGGTCAAGTGACATGTTTTCTAAGTGAAAATCAGTTTGCACATCCTCTACAGAGAACACACTTCTGTACATTTTAATGCACAGTTATTGTTAATTTGCTGAACATATTTCAAATTTTGGGTGGGATAGAAATGCCAGTGAAAAGGTTACAGACTGTATGGTACATTTTGGGTTTATTTCCCAATATATTAAACTTGGCAAATAAACAAAAATTGTCTGCTAAAATTTAAATCAGTGTGTTCTCTGTAGAGGATGTTCACTTATTTTTACTTAGAAAATTGACAAAACTGTCATTTCACCAGGGGTGTTCAAACTTCAGGGTATAAAACTATATGGTCTACAGTGAAGGTGGGCTGCATTTCTAGACTGCTATGTCAAAGCAGAAGGATCCTTTTATGCAGCCGTTCTGTCATTATTATTATTATGAGGATGCTACCAGACTCTCTTTCTGTCATCTGTCAATCATAGTTCTTTGTGCATATGTTCTAAACAATATATTCTATAGAAATGCTGTCAGATGAAGCCACTGCATCTGCAACCACATCATCAAAATTTGTATATTAACCCTTGTGTGGTGTTGATGTTGTTGTTACTCAGTGGTCTGGTGGACCCACCGCATTATTGTTTTTTAAATCAATATAGCCATTACAGTTTATGTAAAAATACCAGATGTTTAAAATATCACAAGTGGTCAGCATAGGGTTCTCCTTTAGCAGCTGTAGCCAGTCAGCAGCCTGTCCATGTTGTCCACAGACACACACACGCACACTAACCGCAGGCCATGTAGGAGGAGAACAGAGTGAAGGACACAGCACCTCCACACTTTTACTCCCCGTGGATTCAACCAACACCACGTGCAATATAAATGTGTGGGGGGTGAACAGAGTGAAGACACTGAAAATGGGTTATTTTATATGTTCTTCTCAGAAAATGAGCAAAGGCCAATAATCTGAGGTTGAAATAATAATAATAAATTGCATAATTTTTAATTTTGGTAAACATTGAAAATGGGTCCCATAGACCTGAACACCACATAAGGGTTAAACGTAAGCCATTTGTATTATCTGCATTCCGAAAGCTTGTACATGTTGAAATTAGTTTGGTGTCCTCTTTCTCAAATACATAATAATACATTTTTTTAAACATGAGTCTGTTTGTAAGAAGAGGGCCAAACAATGGGTAGCTAATACTAACCATAAGAGTGCCAAGCAAATTGTACTAAAGGCCAATAATATATATATATATATATATATATATATATATATATATATATATATATATATATATATATATATATATATATATAAGTATACAGTTATTTAAAAGTTGCGTATCTGTTTATGATGGTCTCAGTTGAATACAGGGTGTGAAATGCTCCTGCTTTTGTTGAGGTAAACAGTTTTTTAGCTTATAATTTAATTAATTCCATCACAATTATTTTTTTTCTTGTCAGCTTACTGTCGTTCACATCAACAGTATTTACTCTCTTGCATTTTGTGCGCCATTCTAATACAAGCAAGGAGCTCTTCAGAGCTGCAGCCTCACTTTAGAAAAGCATCTCACATCTTTGTAATACTTCTTATTTTTAAGAAAGTCCACTTTGGCTGAACATAACACTTTTTTGCTTTGTCGAGTGGGGTTTCTCCATCGTAATTGTGTGGAAAAATTGCATTAAAAATGTTTCTGTGCCTCTGAAACTTCTTCTATTCTGCTTGTTGTCAAGTGTTGGCACCATAAGACAAACAGCAACCTTGGAGGCATTTTGGTTATTTTCTTTTAATGATTAATTCTTACGGCTTGTTCATTGTCAGGAAGGGTGATGTATGTTCTTCAACAGGCCATTAAGAATTTGGTATCGGTGTTAAATTCAAGGCACCGGTAATGAAAAATATCAATCTCAGGTGGATCTCAGTGCTATGCCATGCTGCATTTAAGCTCCTAGACTCTGTGTGGGAGCAGGAACAGTTGTGCGGCCCATACTCGGGCCAGAGGAGGCTTACTCACCAGGCCATGTGTGCTGATACTAGTGCGGTGATGTAGCTCTGCTTAGTCATGGTGAGACGGAACAGGCCGTACCGAGAGTGAGCTGCTGGATATGGAGGGCCTCCATCAGCAAGATGAGGATTGGAGGATGCTATTGTGCTCATGGCTAATGACTAATCCACTCCAGTAACACCAGCAGGTGAGCCTGTATGTTACGTAAGGCTACAGGATGGCCACCGAGGAATGCAGGGTCATGCAAAATGCAAAACTCCCCACACAGAGTCTCTGAGTGTGGGTGGCTGGGACGCTCAGCACACAGCCAGCAGAGAGGCTGAAATCTCTGGTGCTTTTCAAGGCAATCCTCCACCCCCTTCATCTGTCTTCTCCAATGTGGATTGGCCACCTTCTGCCTGCATCATCTACCTCTGCTTTGTCACTGCCAGCACAGTCTGCAGAGAGAGAGAGAGAACTTTTATACTTGGAAAAGAGAGATGAGGGAGAATTTTCATTGGGTTTCTTAGCCCCTGCATAAGCTGGATGAAACTGAGGAAGGATTAACCCATGACTTCCCAGACTGTGGCTGCTGCAGAGGATGGATATGAAGGATAGAGCAGTTAGATGATGGATGTTGGGCGAATGGGGTCGATATACAAAGAATGAGAGGCTTACTAAGTTGGCAAACGTGCTCTCTCGGCCTCATATGCTGTCCATCTCTAAGTGCAGCTCTTGTATTCAGATTAACTACAATACAAATAAGTAAAGCTGATCTTAAATCGACAGACTTATATTAATTAAATTATAAGTGTAATACGTAAACATCTTTGTCCAGACAGGCCGCCAGCTTCAGAGCGCTCAGCACACAGTATTTCAGTATGCATTTCTTAGGTGTTGTCTGGGGCTGAGCTTGGAGGTCAGTGACCCGTCCTTCTGCAGATGGTGCCGTGGGATTTTAAAACAGCCGTGATCTTGCAGTGTCCTTTTGTGTCTGCTCGCTGTACTTTATCCCTCAGAGCTTCTGCGTCACTCTGCGTAACTCTGCATCCTGTCTGACACAAAGGAGAACCGATCCTCTTCACTTTCTCTCTGAATCTGTCAGTTCTGTTTCGCCAAGTGGGTTACATATACAGATTTGTCTTGGTGCACACAATAGTAGAATTTCCAATTTCAACACAAGGGTCAGTGCTCTTCTTATCCTAGCAACTGATGGCATTGAATTATTTGGAACCAACAACTGGCCACGCACAAGCAGCAAGTGTTTAAAATTGACCACGTTAAAGTTCAGGTTAGCTTAAATTTAGATCAGAGACACTTGTTGGCTTAACAATACAAATACATCCGGTTTGAAAATGATTTATTTCACTTGTAAATCATTACAGAACAACACAGTAAACTGTAAATGGTTTAAATGAGCATGAAGTTTATGTAATTTAACAAGTGCTCAGTATGAACAGTGGTGATATGCAAACAATTGCCACTGCATCCAGTTGCCACTGCTAACATAATGCTTTTTCCACTAGTACCTCTATGGGATTTCCATAAATTGGGTAAAGCGTTGTGTAAAAGGTTATTTACTGCTTTGCAATAAAAATAACA